TTCTCCTCACTAGAGAGCTACCAAGGCCACATAGAGACTAAAGTATTCTTCTTCTTCTTCCTCCTCCTCCTCTTCTTTTTCTTCTTCTTCTTCGCGTTCACCAGCTGTAAACTCTGGCGGAAAGTTCTAGTTGTTTATCCACTGCAGTCCTGTTCCAGAACCTGAGTGTTGCGTGTGCATCCGTTTTACAGATCTGACTCATTTGTATGCGGACTGCTGGTTCCTTGCCTCTCAGGCAGATGCACTCCGACTTCGAAGGAAGCTCCCAATTAGTCGACTCTTACGACATTCTTTTGGGTAGGCAGTGGGTCTATTCTTGTTTTCCCTAAAATAGGGCCCGGGAACCCACACGGGGGACTAAAGTATTAATATAGCGAAAGTTCAAAGGTTGTCATATCAGCCTCCACGGGAAATAAAATGCTGAGAATTATATAAATGCCTATGACCTAATGTTGTAGCCTCTGCTGTGAATGGGTAGACAATATTCAGAAGTGGCATTTAACATCCCTCACCTGGGCATGCCAGAGTAACAGGTAATGAAGGAACAGACAAATAAGCAAGTATTGCACCACTGTGTACTGGAAGATGCGTGGACAGTGCTGATAGCATCAACATTGTACGGACTAGGCTAGCAGGTAATGATGAATCTCTGGCACTAACATGACTACATGAACTCAGAGAGAGGCCTGGCAAAGTATGTCTGTGCCATCTTTGAGGTCAGATAGGAGGCATTGTAGCCCATAATTCATGAGAACAGTCAGTAGAGGTGAATTGGGGTCCAAATGGAGCAATGATGCGCAATACAAGACTCTTAATGTCAATTAGCCTCCCTTGCTCAAGCCTACCTCACCTTCACGTGGTGGACCCTGTTCTTCCCAGCAATCCAGTTGAAGGTTGGGGTCTCAACCCCCAGCGGGAAACTGGATGGGACAACAAACGAGGTAAAGGCGAAAGATGAATGGATAAGCCTACTCTCCTCGCGTATGACCACAGTCTACCCTTGCAAAACAAGGTGCTAAAGTCAGAGGCAACCAGCCAAGAGGCGCACCACAGCAATCAGGATGCCACGCATACACGCCATGGAAATATGTCTAAATCGAAGATTCGTAATGCAGTGGATACCGTCTCATTGTGGAGTGCCTGGAAATGAGAAAGCTGATCAACTGGCAGGGGAAGATGCGACAAAAGTGCAGCCGGATGTACCAGTCACATACCACCAAAAGAAAAGAATCATTAAATCGTCCAGGAAACCAACCCCAGCACAAGACGACTATTTTATTATGGACAGACCAGAACAAGTTATTATCCTCCGCCTCAGAACAGGGCAAAACCGATTACGTAACCACATGTACACAAAATTCAAGATAGGTGTATCAGCCATGTGCACCTGTGAAAATGTGCCCCAGACAGCAGAGCATGTACTCCAGGACTGCACCGAATTTAACACATTAAGGCAAACCTTTTGGCCAGAAAGAACAACAGTGGAACGTAAACTTTATGGACCACTGAATGAACTAACAACGTCAGTGAAATTTATACAAGAGACAAAACTGCTGATATAGACAACTTATTTCAGACGAACAAAAGAAGAAGAAGGTGAATCTTGTGGTGACTGGTGCATCAGAGGACTAAGCACCCATGGTAGTGCCCAGTGTCAGGGACGTCGGTGATGATAACGCAACATAGTGACCTAATTTCTGGTGTCACAGACTGTAATGCATGCCCATTGAGCTGACCGTATGTGTAGATTCCTCCCTTTTCTTCTTCTTCTTTTTCTTTGCGTTCGGTTTCGTATGCTCAGATCAGACCATCAGGTGGGTTGCCTCTATGAACTCGCATGTCTGCTGCAGGTCTTGCATGGTTCCCCATAGCTTGCTCTGCACACTTTGCTCTTGAGGCCAGGTGTCTTTTCATAGTTGCAGGTAGAGTGGGCAGGTCTGCAGAATATGCTGAGGTTTTTGGGGTCCTGTTTGACAGGCACACTGGGGGGAGGGGGGAAGGGGGGGGGGCTGTAATTCTGCACATTTTAAAAAGTATGGTTGACCCAGTCCATTACTGGGAACAGCTTTTTTCTTTGTTTGGTCTCCAGACAGCTGCAATCCCCCGCTGACATGATCTGTCTTCTCGGATGGTGGACAGCCCCAGTCAGAACATTGCAAATCATGGCATATCAGCTGAGGCTACAACGATCTCTGTCAGTCGCATCCCCTTCCAACATAGCACAACCACAATATACGCCACTCCTAGGAAAAACGCAATGTATCCTGCATTATAAACACACAAAATAGCAAGCAGTCTGTGATAAGAGAACATAATGATGTAAAACAAAAATTACAGCCAGCAAAGACTAACACAGCCGCTGACCACAATCTATTGATCTATTAAATGTAGGTTTATTATACCATTACTGTGGTAGTTCGTACAGTTAATGTCATTGAAATGTGCACATGTACCGCGCCGGCTGAACATCATTATAACATAAGATAACCCTTGACCCGTTAGGGTCGTGAGGGTCTATCGATGGAAGCACTAGCACATAAAACCCACCATCTTTCTTTGTCTTCCGCTTGTTGAACAAGTATATAGTAATTTAGTCTTGTCCATTTCTTGATGTCATTCCGGGTTTTTATTTGCACCGCCCCCCCCCCCCCTCAAATCTATCCCACCCCTTCTTTGACTACCCCCCCCCCCCCAGTGTTCCTTGAAATATAGTCTTTGCAATCAAATCATTTCTTACATTATATCTTCAACTAGAACTCATTCATAGATTATTTCTCTGTCTAGATTGTTGTATTTGTTTATTTTAATTTATTATGAACATTTAATTTTATTGCGCCTGTTTCATTGTGAACGTTCTTATAAAATGCTCTTATTTCTGTAATTTCAGTATGTATGTGCACTCGTCCGTATCAAACTGGAAAAGATGCCTGCATTCAGTTAAACTGAGGGACTCTATTTTAGGCATTGTGTGAGTACTTCTTGCTACTAGCATATCATCATCATTATTACCGCCATCATCGTCATCACCATCACAACCAACCCCATCGTCATAATTACTATCATCATTATCACCACCATCATCTTCATCTCTGTTGCCACCATCACTATCTTCACTATCGCCACCATCATCATCATCGTCACCATCAAAATCATCATCATCATCATCATCATCATCATCATCATCATCATCATCATCATCATCATCACCATCATCATCATCACCATCATCATCACCATCATCATCATCACCATCATCATCACCATCATCATCATCATCATCAAAAGCTGCCATGCAACCAGCAGAAGATTTTCAATTTCAACGTAGAATTCACTACACTCTTTCTGCGGATTTGTATAAAATAACCACGGCGTCCAGGTCATTCCAATCTAAAATTAATACAAGAAATGTTAGGGGAATTTAAAGTGGCTGGCTGGATGTTGACCATATTTCTTATCGAATGCAGATTGGTCTATAACAGTGTGTCTAATACCATATGCACAATGCACTAGTGGCAGTAGAAGGATTTTAAAAATTTTTTATAGTAACTGATTCTGACACTCTCTGAAAGTGTTTTCTAGAAACTAATATTCAACAGGAAGGTAAACTCCCACAACCGATGCCTAAATAAGTTGAATAAAGTGGCTGAAAGGTACAGTTATCACAGCTGTGCTGTCACTGGGCAAAGTCCAAGATTGCGCTGAAGGAGAAATACTTTTCATCTTGTTAAGTACTGCTTTTGTTTGACACATCCTGTTCAGTTGTAGAATACTGATATCCTGGCACCTTTCCATCATTACCCCAAATAGTTTTATATTGTGCTATATGGAAGCAGTCAGTGCCTGCGGCCTAGGCATTTCAAAAGCGCTTCATAATGCTGGGATGCCAGGTTCCATCTCAGCTGCAGGTGATTTGACACATGTTGGTTTTGACAATGGTATCAAGAGCTGACCGTTCAGTAAGCAGTGGCAAACTACTGAATGTAAATTTTGCCTATAAAAATCACAACGGCCAAAATATGCTGGAGTTGGTTCTGTAACATCCTGTAAAGAATACGCAACTATCTTTTTGTTTCTATGGATGGGAAACCACAGCTGATGGGGATGGCGAGTGCGACCAGCAAGACCCACTCACATTAAGAAAAGTCTTCCACAGTTACAGCATGGAATTTCATGATCATTGTTGCCATTTTGTGTATTTAATGCACTTCATCTCAGAATGCTCGACTGTTAACCTGTCTGCCGTCATTTTCTTCCATATCCTCTCCCTATCCATATAATACTGTCCTTAGCATCCTAATTCGATGTGCTCACTTCAAAACTCGGTACAGGGTCTCCTGCAACTAACGACCAAATTCCTCAAATTTATATTTTTCAACACTATTTTAATTCTTCTTCTTTCTTCTTCGTGTTCACCATCTGTAAACTCCAGCGGAAAGTTCTGGCTGTTCATCCACTTCTGCACTCTAATCCTGTTCCAGAAACTGAGTGTTGTATGCACAATTGTTTCACAGGTCTGACTCATTTGCATGCATACTGTTGGTTCCTTGCGCACTCAGGCAGATGTACTCCGACTTTGAAGGAAGCTCACAATTAGTCGACTCTTACGACATGCTTTTGGGCAGGCAGTGGGTCTATTCTTGTTTTCCCCACAATGGGGCCCTGGGACCCACACAGGGAACTACTTTCCTAGAAATTGGTTGTTAAAAATTATGCATAAAACGCAAAAATTCAATCTGTGTACGTGTAATGTACATAATGTTAAAAATACATATGTACTATCGCATCAATTCCAGGAACTTTTTGACCCCACAGTGTAATATTTCGTTATTACTTTTTGCATGTGAGTGTGTGTGTTTGTTGGGGGGGGGGGGCGTAAATGGAATAGTGGTAAGTCACATAGCTTGTAAAACGAGAAGAAAGTATACTGATAAAACACATGCTAATAACAAATGATTTTGTATTGACTTGTAAAAGAAAAGGTTTTCCTGATCTATCCACAGCCATGTTAAAGGCAGAGTCTTGGTTTCATTGGCTGACGGTACTGTGGCCATATTTCACAGAGCCGCAGGTTGGTTATTACTGGTGGTTTTTACGATTTAACTTTTCATCCCTACAAGTGTAGTGAGCTGAATAATTAACTCATCGTTTGCATTTTTTTTAAAAAGTGAAATGATTTTAAAGCAGAAACCCAATTTGGCACAATAACCTCAGTGAAAAGGGCATCAATTTATGATTTTTAATGATATGGCATATGCTGTGCTGCTTTTAAAATACTTTGCAAGATTTCTTCCACTTACCCAGACCAAACGTAAAATAAATAATAACACACTATGAGTTGCATTGATGTACATAGGCTGAGAAAACATGGTGTGTTGCTTGGGACAGAAAGAGTTAACTGAAGTGTAAATTATGCTAATTAAATCAAACATGGTCTATGTCGTATGTTTTCATTAATTCAAAGGTTGAAGTGTTTTATTTAATTGAGTGTGACCATTTTCAGTACACTTGGCATGTCAAGAATCTGTTGCAGAATGTTTGGAATAAGCTTCTTCTTAGTGTCCACCAGCTGTAATCTCTGACAGAACATTCTGGTTGTTTGTCCACTTCTGGAATTTAGCCTTGTAACAGAACGTGAATTTTGTGTGTGCGTGTCCATTTTACAGATATGGCTTACTTGCATGCGTACTGTTTTTTCGTTGTCTCTCAGGCAGATGCGCTTTGAGGAAAAGCACCTAATTAGTCGCCTTTTATGACATGCTTTTTCGGGAGAGTGGGTCTATTCCTTTTTTTTCCCCTTCCAGTAATGGGGCCCTGGAACCCACACCCAAATCACGTCTTTGTTTTCCTCTTCATAATTTTGTATGTTTGTCATGTAGGAAATGTTTGCGTTAACTGCCCACAAATTGTATTGTTGAATATATTATTTTAGATGGCCAATGGGATCTGCTGAACTATCACCTGATTGACCTTGGCCGACCTAAGCAGTCTATTCGCTGCATGACAGTTGTTGCCGGCAAGTATGTCTGGTGTGGGTACAAGAGTAAAGTCCATGTCATCAACCCACAGACCATGGCTATTGAGGTGAGTTCCTGTGTGTTTTCATGTATTGTAATAAGTTCCAACCATCTTAAGGGACTTGATGCTCGACACAATTTTATATAATATGTTTTAGTTACTGCCCTTGCATGTCAGAGTTTTTTTTTTCTCTCATTCTGGCTAGTGTTTATTTGTAGTATTCACACATGTGTCAGAGCTTCAGCTAGCCAGAAATGTGGATTTATTTTAGAGATAGCTCAGTTAAGTGATTTTGTGTGTTCTTGTTTGTGATAGTAACATTGTCTATTCGTTTTGTTCTCTGCTTGCAGAAAATCTTTGATGCCCACCCCCGCAAAGAGAGCCAGGTGAGGCAGCTGTGTTGGCTGGGAGATGGTGTCTGGGTGTCCATCCGACTGGACAGCACACTCCGCCTCTACCACGCCTACACATACCAGCATTTGCAGGATGTGGATATCGAGCCATATGTCTCGAAGATGCTAGGTACGCAAGTTTATCTTTTGTTTGTAGATATCAAAAACCATATTAAACACTATTGTATCCTTAGTGTGGGACCGACACCGCCACCTTTGTAAAATCTCATTTTGTCACGAAACAGATATCTAAGCCTCGAATTCGGATGATGAGGCAGATCAAGAAGATGGTAAAGAGATAATATGCAGGCAGACCCACAGATCTCCATCGAGTCATCAATTGAAAAGAGAAGGCCAGTCACAGAGATTGATGGATGTGGATGATATCTCCAGCGAAGGACTTGAAGGGTTAGAATGCTGAGAAAGAAGGGGTTCCTAATGCATAGATTTAGGGTTTCTAGGGGTCAAGCCATTTGCCCCACAATCTAATGGTTCCGGTTTCATTTTCAGACCGTATCATTTGGTTCAAGAGTAGCTTTTTCAGAAGTCCATAAGGGTCATCAGAGAGTTGATACTTGGAGTGATGGGCCCAGCAGACACCTGCTGTATGGATAGAGACTGGGTAATGTTTGATAATGCCAAATACAGGGAGGTTAACCCTCACTGCTGTAATCACTTTTCAGAATACACAGCAAAGCTGATAAGGAGAACTCACCGGGACACTAGATATAGTTCCTTTTATGTGAAATTCCTCTTATCCAGATAAGAGTTCAAGCAAATGGTAATGCGTTTACAGTGTACAGTACAGTAACGAATTGGCGTTGAATATGACAAATGTATGACATAGATCAGTCCTCACCCACATAGGACTGCAGGGAACACCTTGCTGGCGTCATCGTTACCAGTGCCCTAATTATAACTTCTTTGAAGGTTGAACGGGCTGTCTTGTTGGTCTGCCATCCAGAATAAGATTTTAAAATCTCAGGAGTGTATAGTAAACCCTCAGGTAGCATCTCTGAGGGGACAGACTGGTCGATTCTTCTTCTTCTTCTTGTGTCGTCTCACTGATACCAGGCTGTAGCCCAGTGTCGTGGTTTTCTGTGTTTGTCTTGCGCTTCTCAGGTGGCTTGGGTGATGGATTTGTTCATTTTTTTGCAGGTTTATGCTACACCATTTATCCATCTCTTTCTTGGTCTTCCTCTCACCTTTCTCTCAGATGTTTTGCTGTAAAAAGTCTCATATGCAGTTTAGTCTGGCTGCATTCTCACTAGATGGCTGAACTATTTCATTCTTTGTCAATTTAATCCAGATATGGTCTTATTCCAACTTACTCTCTTTTGGTGGTATTCCTAACCCTGTCTCTTGGTCGATGGAAACGTAAAAATATATAAATCACCAAAAGTGTTAATTTAGAGGGGGAAATAATTCAAATTCTGACACCGACAAAGCATGTGATTTCTGAAAATAGCCAAAATGTTTGACGAATGTCCAGGTATTTGAAAAAAAAGTTTGCCTTAAGCAGATCAGGTTATAAAATCAGGACACGTTTAATCATTCAACATATCCAAAAATGTGTGATAAACAGATTCAGTTCACCTAGACATTTTTCAGTTCACCTAGACATTTTTCTAAGAAGACAGATTGCCGGAGATAAACAAATTGTTCTTCTCTGTAGAAATTTGCCACATCTGAAATCGGCTTAAACTATCTGCTCCACATTACGTGTTACTTTTTTTTTATTTTTATTTTTTTTTTAAATTAATTTTCGGAGATCACAGGTTGTGGAAAGGCTTGATCACCTACTCCAGTTGGCAAGGCACTTAATAATGAGATTGATGATTTCAGTGTTGTGCATGAGATTGATGATTTCAGTGTTGTGCATGCAACTATATAAGACAAATACGTGTATGATTGTGCAGGTACTGGCAAGCTGGGGTTTTCCTTTGTCCGTATAACGGCCATGCTCATATCCTGCAACCGGCTGTGGATTGGTACAGGCAACGGTGTAATCATATCCGTCCCATTGTCAGAGAGTGAGTACACTGCATGTCTGTTTATTTTATGTATCCAAATTTACTATTTTTATCCACCCAAATTACAATTTTTATCCGTCCAAATTGCTATTAGTTACTGATAGAAAATTCTTAGCTGCAGTGGATGAAAAAGAAAACTAGGACTCAGCCATGTCGCCCCCAAGAAGACTAAATCTAGTCACTTCCCATCGTAGCACAGTCCCCTAAGGGCTGATATACGGCCATGTCTGGTCTGCAGACACCTGTTCTAAAAAGAAAACCATTACGGTCCTTTTTCCACGCCTTTTTGCGTATAGGGCTAGAACTATATTTTTATAGACCAATCGGCAAATGATAATGATGTGGTAAGCATCACACTGGCCACCTTTACCTCCCGGGACTGCACCTGGTACCTTCTCAAGGCTAGGTCGACCTCGGAATCAAGGTCATTTTTGATAAAAGTCTGGCTCCACCAGTGAGCGAACCCCCGACCTTCCAATCTGCACACAAGTGTCTAGTTGCTTGACTCTGTGTGTTCCAATACAAGGACATTCTAGTTTTATTGTTATCCAGTTTTGTCAGTTTGTGTCCTGTCCTCTTCCTCCTTAGCATCTACTGGCGTTAACCTCTGGCAGAAAGTTCTGGTTGTTCATCCCCTTCTGGACTTGAGTCTTGTTCCAGAACTTGAGTTTTGCGCCGACATCCATTTTGCAGATCTGGCTTACTTGTAATGCAGAATGTTGGTTCCTGGTCTCTCCGACAGAGGCACTCTGACTTCCGGGGAAATATTCATACTGTCCACACTGGCCAGGCCTGCGGTTAGAAACTTGTTGCTTGCCTGGCCATGGACATGTGTACATAGGTTTTGACCAGTATGAGCCCCAGTCTGTGTGCACCAGCACTTGTGGTTCAGCACCTCTGCATCCCATGTCCTGTCTAAAACCAGTGTCCTATCCAAGACCAGTGTCATATCCAAGACGAGTGTCTTATCCATGACCAGTGTCCTATCAAAGACCAGTGTCCTATCAATGACCAGTGTCCTATCCAAGACCAGTGTCCTATCAAAGACCAGTGTCCTATCCAAGGCCATTGTCCTATCCAAAATAGTGTCCTATCCAAGACCAGTGTCCTATCCAAGACCAGTGTCCTATCTAAGACCAGTGTCCTATCTAAGACCAGTGTCCTATCCAAGACCAGTGTCCTATCCAAGACGAGTGTTCTATCCAAGACCAGTGTCCTATCCAAGACCAGTGTCCTATCTAAGACCAGTGTCCTATCTAAGACCAGTGTCCTATCCAAGACGAGTGTTCTATCCAAGACCAGTGTCCTATCCAAGACCAGTGTCCTATCTAAGACCAGTGTCCTATCCAAGACGAGTGTTCTATCCAAGACCAGTGTCCTATCCAAGACCAGTGTCCTATCTAAGACCAGTGTCCTATCCAAGACCAGTGTCCTATCTAAGACCAGTGTCCTATCCAAGACGAGTGTTCTATCCAAGACCAGTGTTCTATCCAAGGCCATTGTCCTATCCAAAATAGTGTCCTATCTAAGACCATTGTCCTATCCAAGACCATTGTCCTATCTAAGACCATTGTCCTATCCAAGACCAGTGTCCTATCAAAGACCAGTGTCCTATCCAAGACCAGTGTCCTATCCAAGACCTGTGTCCTATCCAAGACCAGTGTCCTATCCAAGACCTGTGTCCTATCCAAGACCAGTGTCCTATCCAAGGCCATTGTCCTATCCAAAATAGTGTCCTATCTAAGACCATTGTCCTATCCAAGACCATTGTCCTATCTAAGACCATTGTCCTATCCAAGACCAGTGTCCTATCAAAGACCAGTGTCCTATCCAAGACCAGTGTCCTATCCAAGACCTGTGTCCTATCCAAGACCAGTGTCCTATCCAAGGCCATTGTCCTATCCAAAATAGTGTCCTATCTAAGACCATTGTCCTATCCAAGACCATTGTCCTATCTAAGACCATTGTCCTATCCAAAAACATTGTCCTATTTAAGACCATTGTCCTATTTAAGACCATTGTCCTATCCAAGACCAGTATTCTATCCAAGACCAGTATCCTATCCAAAATAGTGTCCTATCCAAGACCATCATATCCAAGACCATTATCCTATCCAAGACCAGTATCATTTCCGAGACTAGTATCTTATCTGAGATCAGAATCCTTTTCAAGACCAGTGTCTTTCCCTCACATCAGTTTTCACTACTAAATACCACTGCTGTTATTTATTTGTTGTAATATGGCCATTAGTCAAATTGTAATGTCTTTCTGAACACTTAGGCAACAAACAGCCGATGATCACAACATCCACTGGTATGGGTGGATCAGCCGCCGGGGGCGGTGGAGGACGACCTGGTGGGGTCATCCGTGTTTACAGTGACGCCAAAACGGACAGTGTCACACCGGGAACATTTATACCATACTGTTCTATGGCTCAAGCTCAGTTGTCTTTCCATGGCCACAAGGATGCAGTCAAGTTCTTTGTCTCTGTGCCAGGTTGGTAGCCAGTGAAAATATGTTTGTTTTAAAACAAATAACCTCTTCTAGTTTACAGATTTGCTATAAAAACACCAACCAATTCTGCCTGTTTTTTTTTTTTTTTTGGGGACCACTGCAGTTATTGTGGGAGATATATATGTTTCTCCTTCTTGCAGTTCTGTCTGCCTCAGCCGTAAACACATCATGTTGGTGTATGGTCGTCTGTCTCATTATCTGTCTCGTTCTTGGTCTGCATCTTGCTCTGCATCTCTCTCCCCTTTTGGTGTATATGGATTTTTTTTTTAAAGACTGCTATTATTAAGCAGTTGTTTGTTTTGTTAATTTTTAAAGATAATTGATAGTATTGTTAAAAAAAAATATATAATGCTTTTCTTAGAAGAGCTTGTGAGCTCACCACTTGCTCTGCGTCCTCTCTCCCTTTGTGATGTATGCTCTGTAAGGTAAGGTTGCTTTTGGGGGGAAAGATCGGGGGCGGGGGGTGGGGGGGGGGTGTTAATGATTGCTTTTATTTAGCATTTATTCGTTTTGTTAATTTTTAATGGTAATTGTTAATACTGATATACATACATATAATGCTTCTCTTGGAAGTGCTTGTGGTCCCATCACATAGTGCTAACCTCCGTCATAGAGATGGTATATATTTTAATTAATAATGCTTCTTATTTTCTGTATAGGATTGTGTATTTATCTTAACCTCCCTTATTCAGTTTGAGTAGATTATTTATGTTTGTGAGCTAGATATGTTCACATTGAGAGACTAATTCTGTATGTCATTTCCTGTAGATGGGGATTTTTCATTACCTGTGTTTTTTTAATTTTTTTATTATCATAATTATTAGTTTTTTTTCTCCTTTTGTTTGCATTAGTTTAACATTTTCACTAGTTTTAATTTCAACTTCTGGATGGTTGCATTTTCTGCCCCTCATAGTTCACCTGAGCACTTTTAATTATTCTAACACCATAGCCTAAATATAATCCCACTAAAAATACAATATTTCATAGTCATAAATAGTTGAGAGTTTTCTTATTAAATTGGGGGAAAAAAATAACAAAATCACATTTCAGTTTTAAAAAAAATTTCTAATTTATAAATGAAAGACCCTTTTCCGCACCTTCAGGAAATATGGGGCTAGACATTTTTATTGACCAGTTGGCTCTTGGTTGGTGATATGGTCAGTATCACACCAGTCGGCCCAAGATATGTTCCTTGGGAGCCAAGGAGTACATTCTTGTTCAGGGTAAATTTTTGGGGGGATTCTAAGCATTACATTACATTCTTACGGTGGGAGCACTGAAAGAAAGTAAATGTCTAAAGTAACATCCATTCAACAGTAAAATAGACTACTCTTTACATTGTGTTTTACAGCTCCTCTGAATCATTTTGGAGAACCGACAATTTCCGAGTTGTTTCTTGAAGAAGGTGGTAGAAACCTTACTTTTACTATAACTTGATTCGCCAGATTCCTAAATCCTTTTACTTGCAATTAACCCAATGAATGCTTTGAAAAAAAATAAGCTTGAATGTCAATGACAGTTTTACTTTAATCCCTCCTACCTGAAATTTTGAAATCCTTTCTTTGCTAGTAACTTCTGTGATTAATTTATACTAAATAACCAAAGGAAAGTAATAGGTAAATAGATGGTAGGAATTTTGCAAGGGTGTTTTTACTTTGTTCTTGTGTTCTTTCTTAAATGGCTAATGCATGTTCAGATATTTAATTTGACTGTTAAGTAGAGTTAGAATACAAAATTATAACACTTGAGACAATCATAAGCGCTGTGTCCCTATCTTCAGCAGTCAGCACAGATTTCCAATTCTGATGGTGCCAGTGCAGGTGTCGTCTTGCTTTGCTTATTCTCTGAGTGTCGAGTGTCAGCCAGATCCCCTGGTCACTCCCTGCTGTACTTTCTCTTCAGACTTTAATGATCTGTTTGTATCTCTGCACTGTTCACTCGCTGCCAAAGGACCTTGACTTCGTCTAAAACAATATCTTCTTCCTCTTCTTCTTCTTCTACCTCTTCTTCTTCTTCTTCCTCCTCCTCTTCTTCTTCTTCTTCTACCTCTTCTTCTTCTTCTTCCTCCTCCTCTTCTTCTTCTTCTTCCTCCTCCTCTTCTTCTTCTTCTTCCTCCTCCTCTTCTTCTTCTTCTTCCTCCTCCTCTTCTTCTTCTTCTTCTTCCTCCTCCTCCTCCTCTTCTTCTTCCGTGGCTGTAAACTGAAACAGAAAGTTCTGTTTGTCAACCCCCATCTGGTCTTTAGTCTTGTTCCAGAATCTGAGTCTTGCCTGCACATCTGTTTTACAGATCTGACTTATTTATATGCAGATTGTTGGTTCCTCGCCTCTCAGGCAGATGCACTCAGACTTCAAATGAAGCCCCCCAGGTAGTCGACTCTTACAACGTGCTTTTTGGAGAAGCAGTGATCTGTTCTTGTTTTCTTCACAATGGGGCCCCAGAACCCACACGGGCAGGCCAATATCTGATTTGACTGACAGCTTAGGAGCTGTTAGCTGTGAGTCTCTGAAAGTCCTAAAAAATCTCGATATGATGTGTTGAACAGTTCCCTTTTGATCCCTTTTTTTTTTTTGCATTCACTGTCAACAGTGCAGATGGCACGCTTTGTTGTTGATTACTGCAATATCTGTGCATTTCGATTTTTCTTTTTTTTTTTCACAATTTTATTTTTCAATATTTGTGTATTTTTATATAATATGCTATGTAGAGCCAGTTTGATCATATGGCTGTGAATCCTGGACAATTAATAAACAAGCCAAGTAATATCTTGAGGCCTCAGAGATGTGGTTTTACAGAAGAATCCTTAGAATACCTTGGACGGCCAAAATGAGCAACCTAGATGTTTTAAAGAAGGCGGGGGCTTAAAGGTAATTTACTACAAACATCAAAAACAGATAGTGATCATTTTTTGGTCATGTTATAAGAAGAGGAAAACTGGAATATGTTGTGACCACTGGAAAGATCTGTAAAAAAAAATTGCACATAAGAATACCTGAGAGGAGGACAACACAAGACGATTCTTGACAACCTTTTGTCATGGCATTGCAGGGTTTCAGCACATGAACTTATAGACATAGTTGCAGATGGCAAATTGTGGAGAGGCATGATCGTCTACGTCAGTCGGCAAAGCACTTGACGATGATGATGGTATAATGTGTCCCCTTCCTTAAACTGGTGCCAGGAACCCACATGAGGAGAATTGCAGTTCATATTTGATGAAAGCAGCAGTCACGACAAACATGCAGGTGTATAGGCATTACTGCATAAGTAATCAGTGTTAAAATGATGTTCTTTAGTTATGTTGCTATTTTGTTATTCTTTTATACCTGACATCAAATGTGTTTAACAGCTATGAATAACTTCATCCAGCTTGCTGTTTCATTTACATGCGTTCATCAGTCAGTTGTTTTTATTTCCTTCTGCCTGCTCATTTTGCGCTTGATTTCCAATTTTTCAGACGTTCGTTTGCCAGAAAACTGTAAATACGTTTCCTCAATTGGTCAAGGCAAAAGTGATTATTATTAACATATTTTTTCGGCCGTTGTCAGTAGAGTATTTATTCTGTGTCTGGGTCTGTGTTCATGTTTTACAAGAAAAAAACTGTGGTGCTTTCTGTCTCCCCCAAAAGTAAAAAGTTGACTGAAAACAGAATATTTAGAGTAAAATTACCCTTTTTCACACCTTCAGGCATATTGGGCATATAGGGCTAGACCATATTGGTAGACAAATCTGTACTCGATATGTGATATGGTAAACATCACACCGGCCACTTTTTCTGTTACCATTTTACAGTTAATGCTATCTGCACAGTTACTGTAACTTAAACACATTTCAGTGATGGTTACTAACCAAGTTTACTTTTCTTTAACAAACTGTCTATATTTTGCATAGAAATGTTAAAAAACAGTTTATGGTAGAAAGCACTGAGGTTGGAAAAAGGTTTTCCCGTATCAGACATTGTGTAGTTCTGTGTTTCATGATGGCATGCCTGTAGTTCTGTGTTTCATGATGGCATGCCTGTAGTTCTGTGTTTCATAATGGTGCCTGTAGTTCTGTTTCATGATGGTGCCTGTAGTTCTGTGTTTCATGATGGCATGCCTGTAGTTCTGTGTTTCATGATGGTGCCTGTAATTCTGTGTTTCATAATGGTGCCTGTAGTTCTGTGTTTCATGATGGCATGCCTGTAGTTCTGTGTTTCATAATGGTGCCTGTAGTTCTGTGTTTCATGATGGTGCCTGTAGTCCTGTGTTTCATGATGGCATGCCTGTAGTTCTGTGTCCATACTTTCCAGTTATCTGTTAAGTGACAGCCTGTACCCCAATCTGCCTGATGGAGTAAATTGTTGTGTGTGTATAATGTTATTGTATGTGTGTGTAACCACACATGTTGGTGTATACCTTGTATGTATGTGGTGCGTTAGTCTTATCATAAATAATTTGTTAATCTTCTTCTTCTTCTTCGTTCACCGGCTGTGAATTCCGGCGGAAGGTCCCGGTTAATCGTCCGCTTGGACTTTTGGCTTTTACCTAGACCTGAGTTTTGCGTGTACAACCGTTTTGTTGTTCCCTGCCTCACGGGCAGCTGTACTCCGACTTCGAGGGATAATTTGTTAATAAAATATGTAGAGTACATGAAATATGTAGTAAGCACCTTTTGCTTCTTATAGTTAGTTAGGTTATCGTCATTGCACTCCAGTCATGTCCATAGGTGCTCAGACCCTCCCCTCAGTATGAACCCCAGCATTCCAAAGGCCTCCACCCTTCCCATTTCTCGAAAGGCATTAATAATATCAACATTATCCATAGGTTGACCCTTGGTAATGATAGCAGATCCAGCCAACCTTTCAGCTCTTTCATTCCCATTGATGCCTGCATCTCCGGGATTGAAAATATAGGTGACTCCACACACAGTTAACTTCTGTAATGGCTCTTGCCACTGCCTTCACACCGAACCTGCCTAAACCCTCCTGATCATACTCATTGAATCACTGATTACACATGTAATGGCTCTTGCCACTGCCTTCACACCGAACCTGCCTAAACCCTGCTGATCATACTCATTGAATCACTGATTACACATGTAATGGCTCATGCCACTGCCTTCACACCGAACCTGCCTAAACCCTGCTGATCATACTCATTGAATCACTGATTACACATGTAATGGCTCATGCCACTGCCTTCACACCGAACCTGCCTAAACCCTGCTGATCATACTCATTGAATCACTGATTACACATGTAATGGCTCTTGCCACTGCCTTCACACCGAACCTGCCTAAACCCTCCTGATCATACTCATTGAATCACTGATTACACATGTAATGGCTCTTGCCACTGCCTTCACACCAAACCTGCCTAAACCCTGCTGGTCATACTCATTGAATCACTGATTACACATGTAATGGCTCTTGCCACTGCCTTCACACCGAACCTGCCTAAACCCTCCTGATCATACTCATTGAATCACTGATTACACATGTAATGGCTCTTGCCACTGCCTTCACACTGAACCTGCCTAAACCCTGCTGATCATACTCATTGAATCACTGATTACACATGTGCTGGTGTAGTTTTCTGTTTCGAGACTTGCGAAAACTTTTCTTCAGTTTTCTCCTTCCCATGACATGACCAACTAATGTATATTAAGGCATTGTACACAGTATAAGGCATTGTACACAGTATAAGGCGTTGTACACAGTATAAGGCATTGTACACAGTATGAGGCATTGTACACAGTATAAGGCATTGTACACAGTATAAGGCATTGTACACAGCATAAGGCATTGTACACAGCATAAGGCATTGTACACAGCATAAGGCATTGTACACAGTATAAGGCATTGTACACAGTATAAGGCATTGTACACAGTATAAGGCAGTGTACACAGTATAAGGCGATGTACACAGTATAAGGCATTGTACACAGTATAAGGCATTGTACACAGTATAAGGCGTTGTACACAGTATAAGGCATTGTACACAGTATAAGGCATTGTACACAGTATAAGGCATTGTACACAGTATAAGGCGTTGTACACAGTATAAGGCATTGTACACAGTATGAGGCATTGTACACAGTATGAGGCATTGTACACAGTATAAGGCATTGTACACAGTATAAGGCATTGTACACAGTATAAGGCATTGTACACAGTATAAGGCATTGTACACAGTATAAGGCATTGTACACAGTATAAGGCATTGTACACAGCATAAGGCATTGTACACAGCATAAGGCATTGTACACAGCATAAGGCATTGTACACAGCATAAGGCATTGTACACAGCATAAGGCATTGTACACAGTATAAGGCAGTGTACACAGTATAAGGCAGTGTACACAGTATAAGGCAGTGTACACAGTATAAGGCGATGTACACAGTATAAGGCGATGTACACAGTATAAGGCATTGTACACAGTATAAGGCATTGTACACAGTATAAGGCGTTGTACACAGTATGAGGCGTTGTACACAGTATGAGGCGTTGTACACAGTATGAGGCGTTGTACACAGTATGAGGCATTGTACACAGTATGAGGCATTGTACACAGCATGAGGCATTGTACACAGCATAAGGCATTGTACACAGCATAAGGCATTGTACACAGCATAAGGCATTGTACACAGCATAAGGCATTGTACACAGCATAAGGCATTGTACACAGCATAAGGCATTGTACACAGCATAAGGCATTGTACACAGCATAAGGCATTGTACACAGTATAAGGCAGTGTACACAGTATAAGGCAGTGTACACAGTATAAGGCATTGTACACAGCATAAGGCATTGTACACAGCATAAGGCATTGTACACAGCATAAGGCATTGTACACAGCATAAGGCATTGTACACAGCATAAGGCATTGTACACAGCATAAGGCATTGTACACAGCATAAGGCATTGTACACAGTATAAGGCATTGTACACAGTATAAGGCAGTGTACACAGTATAAGGCAGTGTACACAGTATAAGGCGATGTACACAGTACAAGGCATTAAAGCATGTCCTTTAGTTGCACTAAACAGTATATGTATTGGACTAGTTATCATACAAGTATATACATTTCTCTTTCAGAATTAGTGCGCAAGACAACTTGTATGTACTTTTGTTTTGTAACAAAAATCAGCTGGGCTTGGTTGAATCTTCGCTGCTCTCTATTTGTTGACTCTTTCAGGTTTCTAATCTTACACTAGGGAAGCTGATTTTATGTGATGTCATCATTTGAGGCAAATGTTTTATTGGCGTTTTAGAAAGGATTAATATATTTTATAATATTGGGTTTGGCACCTCTAGCCTTATGCATTTATTGCCTGTGCATATTTTTAGATTTAGCCGGGACTAATTGTTTGTTCACCAGTTTTTAAATGAAATTGGACTGTGAGGTATAACAGGCTAGATATAATGAGGGCCCTTTGGGAGCTCATAAACATTGCAAAGGCACAAATAGATCATTACGGTTTGCGGGAAGTTAACCAGTGGATCTGACGGTCGCTTTTTTTTTTTAAACATTTGTTATTAAATTTGTTTTTCAATGGTCCTTTAATTGTTATTTTGTTTTTGTCTTTCAAATGTATTAATATTCAAAAATGTGTCATTGGAATCTCTTTAACATATACATAGTTGAGTGTTCCTGCTTGCGCTTTTTAATAATTCTGTTATTATTGTATAATTGATTAGATAGATTGTTTCATCAGTATATTCAACTATATATATATATATATATATATATATACATACATACACACACACACGCACACATATTTTTGTGTTCATTCACACTTAACTGTTTTTTAATTTCATTTCCTGAGATTTTTTTGTTTGCATGTGTCTTCATAATTTTTGTATTCATATTCATATTTTACGTTATATATCCATAGCACGAAGACGAAAGTCCCCGTTATTTGAGGAAGGTATTCACAAAATGCAACATATATATAATATACTTTTTTTTTCTTATTATACCTGACCTCACTTTCCTGCTGCATAATTGTAGAGCTTGAATTTCTGACAATCATATTTTCTTGCTAAATGTTAGGACTTAGGAACTTGTGTTGCCATTATAAGTCATTCATGAACATGTGTATTTCTTTGATAACTGTTGAACTCATCATCATCATCATTATCCCGTTACACTGTGTGTTGTTGCATCAACAGTTTCTGTCGACTGTCTGATCAGCTCTCTCCACCTTTGGCGGTCACTTTGAGTTAAAAATCTACCTTTTGTATTTTAGGATCCTCGCCGGTGCTACGGAGTTCGTGCACTGTACTTAGATTCTTCAGACTCAGGCTTGAGTTAGAAGTAAAATGGTGCACTTATGGGTTACTATCCTTGTGCCATGATGTTGTTCCGTTATTTAAACCTGAATCTTAAACTAGATTCTAGATGTCAAAATTAAGTTCTTGCATTTCTTTCTTCCTTTTCATTAAAAAAAATTTGTTTAACAGTATCTGTATTTCTGGGAGTCACCGTGGTCGAGCGGCTAGACGCTTACGCTCGCCGTGGATCAGGTTCGCTCCCTGGTGGAGCCGGACTAATTTTCAAAAATGACCTTGGCTCCCAGGTAGACCCAGCCTTGAGTGGGTACCAGGTGTAGTCTTGGGAAGTAAAGGTGGCTGGCGTGATGCTGACCACATCACCCATCTTGTGCCGATTGGTCTATAAAAATATAGGTCTAGCCCTATACGCCTAGAGGCGTGGATAAGGATCCTTAACTTTTTTTTTTTTAATATGTATTTCTTGTGTCTCTGTTGGACCATACAAGTTTATGTCTCCCTTCTAACTATAGAAGTGTGTATTTCCCTTACAACTGTTAGGTCACTGATACTTATATTTAAAATATTCCTGTGTGGGGTGTCAAGGCCCTATTACAGGGAAAACAAGAATAGACCCACTGCCTACTTACAAGCATGTCATAAGAGCCAACTAATTGGGAGCTTCCTTCGAAGTCGAAGTGCATTTGCCTGAGATGCAAGGAACCAACAGTCTGTATACAGATGATTCTGTAAAACAGATGCACATGCAACACTCGGGTTCTGGAACAAAACTGTAGTCCAGAAGTGGGAGAACAACCAGAACTTTCCACCAGCTGGTGAACAAGACGATATTTCAAAAAAGAATGTAGTAAATGACCTTTTTTACGTCAGTGGTACATAAGACATAGGATGCTTAACTCACTTTTTGTTTTTTTAAAGACCAATCTGTCTTGGGGGGTGGGGGTGATGTCTGTATCATTCTGCCCACTTTTACTTCCCAACTCATTGCCTAATACACATTTTAGTTTGGGTTCAACCTGGGAGCCAAGGTCAGTATTGAAAAATCTGCCTCAGTTGAATTCTTCTTCTTCTTCGTTGACCGGCTGTGAGCTCTGGCATAAAGTCCTGGTTGTTTGTCAGTTTGGACTTTGGTTTTGTGCTGGAGCCTGAGCTTTGTGTGTACATCCATTTTACAGGCTTATTTGTATGCAGTTGATTGTTTCTTGCCGTTTGGGCAGATGCACTCTGACTTGAGCCCTCATTTAGTCAACTCCTACGACATGCTTGTTGGAGCGGCAGTGGGTCTATTCTTGTAATCCTTAGCATAGGGCCGTGAAATCCACACGGGGAACTGTGGATTCTGACCAGAACACCTTCAGGTTGGCAGGCGAGCATCTAGCCACTGCGTTACTACAGCTGCTAGAAGCTTATGTGTTCCATCACGACTGTTAGGTTAAATAAGCTTGTGTTTTCATAATCTGTTAAGTCATGGACACATGCATTTCTTTGATAATTGTTTGAATATAGTAGATTTTATTTCTCTTCCAACTGTCACAGAAACGTGTATTTATGTCATAGAAGTTTATATATTCCCTAACAACTTTAAGACTATAGAAGCTTATATATTCCCTGACAACTTTAAGACTATAGAAGCTTATATATTCCCTAACAACTTTAAGACTATAGAAGCTTATATATTCCCTGACAACTTTAAGGCCGTACAAGCTTATATATTCCCTAACAACTTTAAGACTATAGAAGCTAAAATATTCCCTGACAAGTTCAAGGCTATAGAAGCTTATATATTCCCTGACAACTTTAAGACTATAGAAGCTTATATATTCCCTAACAACTTTAAGACTATAGAAGCTTATATATTCCCTAACAACTTTAAGACTATAGAAGCTTATATATTCCCTAACAACTTTAAGACTATAGAAGCTTATATATTCCCTGACAACTTTAAGGCCATTCAAGCTTATATAATCCCTAACAACTTTAAGGCTATACAAGCTAAAATATTCCCTGACAAGTTTAAGGCTATAGAAGCTTATATATTCCCTGACAACTTTAAGGATATACAAGCTTATGTATTACCTAACAACTTTAAGGCCGTAGAAGCTTATATATTCCCAAACAACTTTAAGGCTATAGAAGCTTATATATTCCTTTACAACTGTTAGGCTATATAGCAGGGCTGTCTAACTATGTTTACTCAAAGGCCAAAATTTTGAAAATGGGGATTATCACGGAATACAGCCCCGAGTCCCGGCACAGAAAAAGTAATCTGCGTGTCACTTGCTAGCCTTGAGGGACCAGATTTGGCCCAATGGCCACCAGTTGAATAGCCCAACCATAGAAACTGATATATTCCCTTACAACTTTTAGGTCAAAGAAGCTTTTATAATCCCTTACAACTGTTAAGCCAAAGAAGCATATTCATATACATCCATTTATAACTGTTCATGGAAGCTTATATAATCCCCTATAACTGTTATGATTAAATTTCCCTTTCAACTGTTGAGCCATAGATAGAAGCTTATATATTTCCAAATAACTGTTGTCATATAAGCTATTCCCTAATAAGCTCAGTGGAATTCCAATATTCGTCATTATTCTGCTCGAAAAAGGGTTCAGCACTCTTCTTTTTTGTCCAGTCTGATGACCCACTGGCCACGCCAGAGGAGGGACAGATATTGACTTTTCAGGCAAATATCAAACAAAAGTTTCGAAGAAAAATAGGTGAAATTTGTAATTTAAAAAAAAAAAAAGGCTAATATTGGCGTTAACAGATATTGGAGTTTAACTGTATTCACATATAACTGTTAAGTTGTCATGGAAGATAAATATCTCTAATAATTGTCTGGTCATAGAAGCAATTCCTTAATAAGTATTAGTTTATATAAACTGGAGGTTCCATGGTGTAGTGGCTAGACACTCGCCTGTGGATCCAAACAGAGCTGGACTGTAAAAAAAAAAAAAAGACTGACTTCCAGATTGACCCAGTCTTAAAGGGATACCAGGTAAAGTTCTGGGAAGTAAAGGTGAACAGCATGATACTGGCCACATCACCCACCGAGTGCCGATCTATAAATATAAAGTGTAGGTCTAGCTCCTCTATTTGCCGAATACTCCTGAAAGTGGGGGGGGGGGGGGGGGGGGCAGGTCCTTTTCTTATAGTAACTGTTAGGTCATAAAAGCAAATAATTTTTTTATAGCTTTTAGGTAATATATAGATTTATGGTAGGTTTTAAGTCATAAAAGCTTGTGTCCTTGATAACTGTTAGGTGATTGACACTTGTAAATCCTTTATAACTACTAGGCTATAAATGAATTATAATTTCTTTGATATCTGAAGATGTGTTGACTGTAATCTATAATTGTGCGTTTGTTCCTTTGAATTTCTTGTGCTTGTTCAATTGTTCATTTATTCCCCTTGAATTGTGTATGCTTGTATTTCCATGATAACCAATAGGTTACCAAAGATTATAATTCTTTGATAACTTGTGGGTTATAGAAGCTAGTATTTCCTTGAGCACCCTGGCTTCTTAACCCATTCACCCTGACATTGCTAAACAAAATAGTGGGCCATAAATCCATAAGAATTTTGGGAGGAAATCAACAACAAAAAAATATTACAAATGTCAAAATGTTTTAATAATTTATTTATCTACATTTTTCTCTAAGAATGTATACAGATATGTAAAGGGGTAATCACTAAACATGAACAGAGAGAAGCATTAAATGGATACATTCCCTGGAGAATTTAAAAAAAATGTATTAGATGATGCATGCTGGGACCTCTATCAATGAGGCTTATGGGAAAATTCGACATCAACTTGGTCTACAAACAGGCATTAAGGTCATAAGAAAACCACTGCTATTTTTAGTTACTGTATTATTATCCTGGCCTACTAAACAATATGTCGGCACACATCAGACCAGTGGAATTTAACTACATTTTTCCGGAACGAGTCACTGCAGACATGGCCGAGGGTCAGTATTTCCGGGGATGTCACACAACCAGAAGTAACTAGATTTAGGCTTCTGGAAAGGGGGGGGGGGGGTGGAGTTAACAAATCCCTTTAGACTGTGGGTTACTTCTTCTTTATGTTCACCAGCTATAAACTATAGTGGAAAGTTCTGGTTGTTCGTCCACTTCTGGACTGTAGCCCCGTTCCAGAACCTGGGTGTTGCGTGTGCATCTGTTTTACAGATCTGACTCATATGTTTGCAGACTTTTGGTTCCTTGCCTCTCAGGCAGATGCACTCTGATTTTGATTAAACAGGGTTTCTGGATTGAACAGGATTTCTGGATTTGCTCCTGTTGAACTTTTTAACAAGAAGACATCTCAGAAGCCTGGTTCAGCCAGATAACAGTTATACTTGGGTTTCCTTTTTCTTCTTCTTCTTTTTCGCATTCACCGGCTGTACATCCCGGCGGAAAGTTCTGGTTGTTTGTCCACCTCAGAACTTTTGTCTGTTTTCCAGAACCTGAATGTTGTGTGCACATCTGTTTCACACATCTGGGTCTGGCTTTTTTCTGTGGAGACTCTTGGTTCCTTGCTTCTCAGGCAGATGCACTCCAACTTCATAGGATGCCATCAGTTAGTTGACTCATGTGACTTCTTGTTTTTGAGGCAGTGGGTTTATTCTTGTTTTCCCCACAGTGAGACCCAGGAACCCACACAAGCAATACAGGGACATCCTGTGGTTATGAAATAACTTGCAATCCAGTGACAGTTGTTGTATTAACCCATGCTGTCTTTCTTCTATACTGTAACACCTTTAGGCTTGACATTTTTTTTAAATCCCTACTGTATACTGCTGTTTTGTTTAATAGCTTTTATGTAGCAGACTGGAACATTCTAGTTAATCTGTGTTTTTTTTTTTTTAATTGTGCATCTTAGCCATTACACTGCCACGTGATTAAATTTGTATTTAAACATGTAGCCACATTTCTGAATCACGGTGTGGTTATTTCAGTCATCTTTGATGTTATTAGTTGTACAGACTTAACATCTCTTTTTTTTCATTCATGTATTTCACTAGGTGTCCAGAGACATGGCCTGAGTGCAGCTTCTGACCTCTCACCTTCCTCTTCTTCTCCCCCACCTCCAAAGGGAGAGGCGGTGCCTGCTCCTCCAACAAACACCCGATTAGTCCTGTCAGGAGGGGAGGGCTATGTAGACTTCAGACTCGGTAAGTCTTCTCCTGGTTAACCTTGTTTTATTTGGATGTTTCTGTTTATTAACGCAGACTCTACAGTAGGGCTATTCAACTGAGTTTACTCAGGGGCCAAACTGTTGACAGTGGGGATTGTCAGAGGCCTGAGCCGCAGCATAGAAAGATCACTAATACAATACAGTTGGCAATGATCCCCGGGCTGCTTGCTAGGTCTCTACTGGCCGGATTCGGCTCTCCAGCTGCAAGTTTAATATCTCTGCTGTATAGTATTGTTATATTAAATTTGAAATCACTTTTAAAATCTGGATATCTTGGTGAGCGGCTGGCTGTTAAAAATGTCATTTCTTTTAGTGCACCATCACACTTAGAATATCATCTCAAAAGCACTATCATCTCTTTCTCTTATATCCTCTTCTTCTTCTCCTCCTTCTTCTTCTTCTTCTTCTTCTTCTTCTTCTTCTTCTTCTTCTTCTTCTTCTTCTTCTTCTTCTTCTTCTTCTTCTTCTTCTTCTTCTTCTTCTTCTTCTTCTCCTCCTCCTCCTCCTCCTCCTCCTCCTCCTCCTCCTTCTTCTCCTCCTTCTCCTTCTTCTTCTTCTTCTTCTTCTTCTTCTTCTTCTTCTTCTTCTTCTTCTTCTTCTTCTTCTTCTTCTTCTTCTTCTTCTTCTTCTTCTCCTCCTCCTTCTTCTTCTCCTTCTTCTTCTCCTCCTCCTTCTTTTTTTTCTTCTTCTTCTTAATGAAAATTGATCCATAGAGATACAAATCCACACTAGCTTCTTGAGAGTATCGGTGACTTCTAACAAACACAACAAACTTCCAGAATAACAGAATTCTTATTATGCAGAGGTTATCCAAATAGATGACAGTGACAGGAAAAAGAATTACAAAATAAAATCTGTCCACAGGTGACGGTGATGAAGAAGATCCCACTGCTGCTGCCGCTTTGAATGAAGATGATGACGATGATCCCAGCAAGGCCACATCCTTGACAAAAGTTGACCGCAGTCATATCATTGTATGGCAAGTCACTAGCCAGGATTAACCACATAACTTAATCTCATGACATTCATAACTCTATGAATAGCATATTTTTATGTTGCAGTGTGTGCGATTCTGTTGTTAGCTCCCAGGTCACCCAGTGATTCCTTGTAAATTTTCTTGTCATCAGAACCTCTATGGCCACATTTTGTTTGTAGACTGCCTAAACACAAGTAGAAGTAGAGTTTGGTTTGAGACAGGTTGAATTCACTTATAGACTACAATTCAAATGAATATCCTATTTATATTATCGCCATTGATACTTTGACTGTAGAGATGGTTACAGTTAAAGCATACAAATTTATGTAATTTAAATTTGAGGATACAAAACTGTTAGCATCTTCTGTATTTTCCCAAAGAAAAACAGTGAACGCAAACCAAGGGGAAGACCATTCAGGGAACTCACTGAGAAAGGGTGGAATGAAATATATGAGAACAGGAAAGCTCAAGACAGGGGAAGACCATTCAAGGGACTCATTGAGAAAGGGTGCACTGAAATATATGAGAGAACAGGAAAGCTCAAGACAGGGGAAGACCATTCAGGAGACTCATTGAGAAAGGGTGCACTGAAATATATGAGAGAACAGGAAAGCTCAAGACAGGGGAAGACCATTCAGGAGACTCATTGAGAAAGGGTGCACTAAAATATATGAGAGAACAGGAAAGCTCAAGACAGGGGAAGACCATTTAGAAGACTCATTGAGAAAGGGTGCACTGAAATATATGAAAATGGGAAAGCTCAAGACAGGGAAAAACCATTCAGGAGACTCATTGAGAAAAGGTGCACTGAAATATATGAGAGAACAGGAAAGCTCAAGACAGGGAAAAACCATTCAGAGGACTCATTGAGAAAGGGTGCACTGAAATATATGAAAATGGGAAAGCTCAAGACAGGGAAAAACCATTCAGAGGACTCATTGAGAAAGGGTGCACTGAAATATATGAGAACAGGAAAGCTCAAGACAGGGGAAGACCATTCAAAGGACTCATTGAGAAAGGGTGCACTGAAATATATGAGAGAACAGGAAAGCTCAAGACAGGGGAAGACCATTCAGGGGACTCATTGAGAAAGGGTGCACTGAAATATATGAGAGAGCAGGAAAGCTCAATACAGGGAAAGACCATTTAAGGGACTCACTGAGAAAGGGTACACTGAAATATATGAGAACAGGAAAGTTCAAGACAGGGGAAGACCATTTAGAAGACTCATTGAGAAAGGGTGCACTGAAATATATGAGAACAGGAAAGCTCAAGACAGGGGAAGACCATTCAGGGGACTCATTGAGAAAGGGTGCACTGAAATATATGAGAACAGGAAAGCTCAAGACAGGGGAAGACCATTCAGGGGACTCATTGAGAAAGGGTGCACTGAAATATATGAGAACAGGAAAGCTCAAGACAGGGGAAGACCATTCAAGGGACTCACTGAGAAAGAGTGCACTGAAATATATGAGAAAACAGGAAAGCTCAAGACAGGGGAAGACCATTCAGGGGACTCATTGAGAAAGGGTGCACTGAAATATATGAGAACAGGAAAGCTCAAGACAGGGGAAGACCATTCAAGGGACTCACTGAGAAAGGGTGCACTGAAATATATGAGAACAGGAAAGCTCAAGACAGGGGAAGACCTTTCAGAGGACTCATTGAGAAAGGGTGCACTGAAATATATGAGAACAAGAAAGCTCAAGACAGGGGAAGACAAAGACAAGGCTGGTATCCTAGCATTGACAATTATTGATATTGAAAATCATTGGAAGTACATAAGGCAGGTGGCTGTGGATGTAAAGAAATACTAAATATGACAAAAACTGTGACTAGAAAGATCAACTAACAAGACACAAGAGTGTGTAAACAGTCGAAGTCATCATAGAACAAGAAATACATAGCAGGAGCCTGTAGTATAGACTTGTTGGGCTGTATCACAGAGCAAAACAATCAAGGTGTCTCAGAAATAGTAGAGAAGTATGAACAGGTTAAATTGAAATGAAACTTATGCTGAGTATTGATCCCAGCAGGACTAAGATCTCCGAAACTAAGAATGAAGTGATTTCCCAAGTTAGGTCACCAGAGCAGGATTTTATGGCAGTAACTGTCTGATTTCACCTTGTGGTCAAAATGGCTAAAATGAAGGAAGACTGGTTTGATAGCTGTGGATTTACAAGACTACCAATGGCATCCAGAATATACTATAAGCAAAAGAAGTTTGTTGCATGATGGAAGGGCTGCCTGTCAGTAATTTTCCTGCACTGTTTGACTGGACCACTTTCTTGAATGCATATAACATGCGTCGCCTGTTCATATATATTTTCCTTTCTCACTGTGGCCTGAATCCATCCTTGGCAAAGTTTGTTATTTTACTGGTAATTATTTTCTTCTGTAATTGTTTTAGCCAAGAAAAATTATTTTAAAAGTACACTTTTATCGTAATTCTTGAACAAGTGTAATCTCCCTTCAAGAAAATTAATAAAGTATAAACAAGTATTTGTTTTATAACTATTTTAACCAAGAAAAGGGTTCATCTTGTAGAACTTGCAGTTTATATATAAAGTTATTCTAGATTTGTCAGGTTCTGCAGTTTATGTATAAATTTATTGTAGATTTGTCAGATTCTGCAGTTTATATATAAATTGGCTGTAGCTTTGTCGCTTTTAAAGATATTACAGTGAAACTAAAATTATATAACTTACAGGGAATAAATGAAAATGAGACTGATTTTAAACACACAAATTTTTTTTTTCCTCAGCTTGTCTAATTTTATTGATATTTGAATGAAGGCAATGGAAATTTAATTAGAGAGAGACTTTAAAATGGAGCAAACTGTTTTGAGTTTTCAGAAGAAAGTATTTTAACATGGGCAAGCATGAAAATCATTTTTGTAATATCTGGAATTTTATAAAATACTATTTTTGTTGTGTTTTTAAATTTTAATTTGCTGCTTGAAACAAAAAAGTCTGATGTTTTCAGAATATTGCTTAAGAATTTGAAAATGTTCCAGCAAGATGGTGTACAAGCACACACGCGATTACACGCATACACACACAGATATATTTAAATATATATGACATTGAGCAATGGAAGATGTGACATTTCTCAAACCAGTCAGAAGGTTAAACTTATGTCCTTTCACAGTGTATGACAATTTTTGGTCGTGTCTTAAGAAGGAGAAACTGGAATACATCATGATGGTGGAAAAGTTGGAGGGGGAAAACGGCAGAGGGAGACCGAGAGAGAAGATGCTCGAACAGTTTGACATCACGGCATGGAAGACCATCTGGGTCAGAATTGATTGAAAGTACATGAGATAGAAGGTTGTGGATATACCTGACTACCAACGCCACACGGCACGAACTACAAGAAGAAGAACAGTGTACTATTCTTGCGTGAAGAAGACCGTTCTCATGACTGTCATACAGTAATACAAGAGTTACACTGTGGAAGCAATTTAGGTCTCAGCACATAATATTCCCAAAGCAGGGGATGACTTTCAGCCAGCCTCCATTTTGCAGACCAGTGTTCCTCAACCTCTTTTTACACCCGTGGCACACCGGTTGAAGAACATTGTTGTAGACAGCACAGATGTTGTTTTTTAAATTAACTGCCAGCTTGAGTGGTGAGACTAGTGACTTTATGATGAGAAACTAATGTTGTCTCAGTTTTTCAGCAGGGTCTCATGACCTTACTAGTTTAAAGAGATGAGATCAAAAGCTGACTACCATCCCACGACAGCATTAAAATAAATGTTTACTCAGATAAGATATTTTAACTAACAAACACACACACACACAAAGGTAAAAAAAACTGTGGACACAATAGTGCAGAAAATGGACAAACTGCAGCAAAAAATGGACAAACTACTGCAAAAATGGAAAATAGACAAACTACGTCTGAAACTATGGTGACCTGTAAGGAATGAATAGATTTTGTCATGGCAAGTTTTTCCCCTCTTGTAGCTAATTCAGTGAACATTTTTCGAGAACACCGCCAGATGTTTGACAAGAATATTGTCAGTCATGCTTGTTTTAATTGTTTCTTTGGTGAAAGTTTTCTTTGTGATGATCTTAGTGCGGATTGGTTGCTGGTTTCATTTGCTGGTCTGCTTTGTTCTAATGTCTGCACTTATGCATAATATTGTCTATGTGCTGTAAAGGATGAAATTCATTGTCTGACCTCATTGTTGTCGACATTAACCACGTAATAATTGCTCTGATATTGTATTTATGAGTAGTGCTCCTTTGAGCTTGTACATGTCATTGATCAATTCAGTATTGTTAAAGCTACTCATTTACTGTAACCGGGCTACATTTTTGAAACACTTGCCACATTTATTTACCCACGAGCAAATTTTTTTCCCCCCGCCTAGCATGAACAAAAAACATAAGAAAATCACTTGGCTTTGATTGTACAGAAGTGTTAGCATTGTGACTGTGATGTGTGAGTGTGTTGCAAGTTTGTAAGATTTCTTGAATCTTAAGATGGCATGGTAAAACTTTCAGGTAGCAGCCCAAAGGAGACAAACTGATTGATTGCTCTATTCCCATAGGTTTGTAAGCATTGCGTCTGTGAGCTGTGTCACTATAGAAGAGTATATAGGTTCTGCAAGAAAACATTTAGGCTACATAGATCGTAAATGGTGATGTGTGTTTCTGTAGGTTAAGTAGCTGTTTTTTTTTAATCAGCTCAGATTGCATAACTGTGTAACAACTGTTCTATTAACTCAGGTTATAGTTGTGTAAGAACTATTCATTTTAGATTAAATGTCAGCACGCTTCAATTTAGCTCAGATTACATATCTGTGTATGCGACATGTGCAGAAATGAACTTGCAAAATGTATTTTTGAAGTAATGTTAGCACTAAATCTTGCTACAGCACTCATATTTAGTTTTGTTATCTTCTTTTTTTTATGCTGGTGTACAGTAACTGGAAGAGAATCAAAATGGTTTTTTTTTTCATACTTTATTAGATATTTTAATTATTTATGCAAAATGTTTTTACGCTTTAAAAAA